CGTTACAAACTTTTTTTAAAGCGAGTCATTTCGAATTTCTGCCAATGTGATAGAACCGTTCGCGTCTAACACGACCAAGCATATATCTAAACGGATACTTTATATGGGTCGCCCTCAATTTTAAAAATAAATACTTAATGAACCTTAAGTAGTTCAGGACATTAAAAATCTAATAAATTTTTTATTTTCGTCTTAAAGCGATTCGGATCTATTAGCGCCTGTGTAATAAATATACGCTTTAAGAGCGCCACAAATTCTGCTTTATTACGGAGGCCTAAGCTGTTAAAAAGAGATGACGTTATTGTTTAGCTCAACTTACAGTTAAAACCTCTTATATACATTCTTCCTTTAAACAAATAACGTTTGTGAGTCACAAAATACTGAAAGACAAATATGTGATTTATTAATATTACGTACATAAAAAATAAAAAAAAAGTAAAATGTTAATACTATTGATGGAAATAGCACCCAGTTCTACAATATCAAGAACCAATGGCAACACTTTTCTAGGCAACCCAGTTTTCCAAGCAATGACACGGAACATTTCATAAAAATGGCGAAAACAATTTTTTTGATGATTCGATTTAATTATGATTAAATTGGTCCCTACGAGGCCTATCCAATTCTGCAATCATATATCTTTTTTTAACAGTTTAACAACCTTTACAACACTCCAAAAAGAATCAATTTCACCAGAACATCGATTAAAACAATTTCCGATCATAATAGTGTATTATGCAACAAATTTGATAAACTCCATTTTAGCGGAGTGACTGAAAAAGTTTGCATTAACCGAAAAGTTAACCGAACGCATACTATACTTTTTCTACGACCGTTAGCTTTTGGGGTACATTTTCGCAAAACAACACGAATACATTCACTGACACGACCGTCAGAATTAAAATCCTGGAAATGTCCGATGTAGGTCGGATACGAGGGAAACAAAACTGAAGTGGTAAAGCGACGCTTTCCGCAAGCTAGATCGGTTTGCAATTAGGCATTTTACAGACGGGAGTAGAAAAACTTCTTAAGTCACCTGTTTATTAAACACTCGCTCCGCTGTACTCCGCTCGTGCCACATAAACTCGAGACTCAAATGCCGTTTGCCGCACTTGTAGAAGGGAGAACACCAACCAAGCTGACGCCTTGAAGTCACACTTTCTGGATGCTTGATCGGTGCATAATTGACTATTTTACAGTAGGGAGTAGAAAAAATATCTAATTTAATGGTAATGATTCTATTGCGGATATGTAAACTCACAGGAGATTAGGTAATGTGGAAGCTGACCCGCGCAGGTGAATTTGGTAATGGAAAATTAAGTTTGACGCCGTCTTCTGCCTTTATATTTTTCAAAGCAAGACAATTACAGTTTTGATTTTTAAAAGTTAGATATAACGATGTTCAAAATTGCACAAACCAGCACGATACATTTAATCGGAGGACATATTTTCTCCATTTGCGTTCCTTGTTGCGAATAGTAAGGAATTGAATAACTGCAACATAGATTTGGCCACATTTAATATAATAATAATAATAATACGACTTTCTAACATTTAAAAAAAAGGCAAAAAGAATTATTAGAATTATTAACTACGCTTGTCATCGACATCCTTTAACAACTGGATCCTGCGTTCCGAGACCGATCGGCTCTTTTTAAATTCTTTGGAGTTCTTCCACAGCCACATCCTGCAGTCTTTTTTCCAAAAATACGCGATGTCGTTTCTGCTATATATTTTCCCATGGTAATTCAGCGCTTCTTGCTTTATAATAACAGACTCGTTAGTAAGTAAATCGCGGGTTTCTATTCCGCGCAACGCCTCATTTTTCAAATCCATTCCTCTCAATTTTTTTAAAAACTGTTCTGAATGTGCCTCCCCGGACGCTTCTGCGGTTGATCTGGTGGCGCGCAAGTCCAATAAATTTCGTCCACTGTGGTGATTCAAATCGCTCGTGGAAGCTGACCTGTACATGGAAATTCGCTACTGGAAGTTTTATACTTTGACAGCGTCTTCTGACATATTTTTGAAACTATGACAGTTACCGTTTTGACGATTTGAAATCAGATATAACGATGTTAGAAACTGCACAAAGCAGCACGACATTTTTTATCTGAGAATAATTTTTTTCGCTTTTTTTAAAAGAATTCCATAAAAGTTCCTCGATTAGATTTCAAGAAAATACACATAGTGTAAATCGAGGAGGGACCACCTTTTGAAAAACTTTCAAAAAGTTTTTTATTCGAATTAGGCTCTGCAAAAAAGTATAACATAAACATAAGCTTTGGGTATTTATTTGGCGCATTTTAAAGGCTAATCTAACACAACGAATAATTGGCTCATCTCTCCTTGAACGTGAAGGAGAGATGGACCGTAAACTAATTTAATTCCTTTTTCCCATTTTGATATTTGGGGCGGCACCGCATAGTTGGCAAGTGCTGGTGTTTTAATTTTCGAGATCATCAAAGGTTTCTTCTCCACTAGACGAATCATCCAAGGTTACATCTTCATCAGATTCTGATCAGATTCGCGCTTGCGTATTTTTTTAAACACCTTTTCTGTAGATTTTGATGCTTTCTTTTTGGAAGGTTTTTCTTTCGTCTGCTTGGATGGCTGAGCTGTTTGTTTGTGTCTTTGCTTCTTCTGGCGAATACGAGTCATGTGAGTTGGTGAAGTTAAGTTCCCCATTAGGCTAGTTCGAGCCTTCTTCATCGTTGATGTTATAATAGGAACATGAGAGAGCTAGTGAAGTAGTTTTCCAGGTGTTACTTTTCCTTTAGGAGGTTCTTTGGAAAACATCACTTTCTAACTGCATTTTGGAAGAGACTGGTTGAGGGAAATCACGTTCCCAAAGAGGCGTTTGGGGATACATTTCTTGCGAAGAAGTTTCTGGGGATACTTAGGCCTCCCCTAAAAGTTTGCCGAACTGGAACCGATTTAACCTCCTATTGGGATTACATTTGATCATTCTCCTGCATAAATCGTAATCATGCCCTTTAAGGCTCTTGAAGAAGGCTCGATCGAGCGGTTGCAAATAATGCGTTGTGTGACTGGGCAAGCAATAAAATAATATCATTGTCCTCTGCGAATTGTAATGTCTCGAGTTTAGTCGTGTGAGAAGTGTGTCCGTCTACAATGGGTAAAACCTTTCCGGGGTAGAAGTCATTTTGTAAGCAATCCAAGAAAATGTCTGACGTCACATATGCTGACTTTTCTGACATACGTACACGTGAGCCGGGTGGCATTCCCTCAGACCATTACGTTTTAGAATTTTTTCCCTTCAATCCCTTCTGCGTTACAGTAAGCAACTATAGTAATCGTTTCGCCTTTTTCGCTAGCGCTAATTGAGGGTACACTTTTAGATCCTCTTTTAGCCAGCATCAGCCCAGCTCGAGTGTTTAGCTGTAGACCTGTCTCGTCTGTATTATAAATGTTGACAGGCTTGTCAAACAAACCATTCTCAGAGAGTAAATTATCAAGCTCCTTGAAATATTTGCCTACAATATCTTTAGACTTACCCAACGCTCGACCTATGGAAGTGTTTTCAGCTTTGTGAACTGTAATGTCTGAATTTTGCCTTAAAAAAGAATGCAGCCATACGTAACTAGTTTTACCTAAAAATTCCAACAATTTCCTGCAACATTTTTAACAACCAAGAGTTTATTTATCTCACCATCTTCGCGATTAAATTTATGTTGAATTCCAAGACGTTCGGCTAAATTGTAGGCCGTTATGCGTACTCTCTAGTCGATGCAAAGTTTCTTTTTTGTTATTTTTTGATATGGGCAGCGAGGCTTCTGTTTCTCTACCAAGCATGCTACCAGGGCCCAAACAGTCGGTTTTATTTAGGTTGCCAGTGGCAAGTCTGCATTTAAAAGTTGTTTTTGGAATACCGAATGAGTTTGCTGCTTCGTTCCCACCCATTTCGCCAAACACTACTGCAGTAATGGCAGAAGATAAATTATCTGCAGACCAACAGTTCCTTTAATCCATATTGCGCTTGCGGGTTTACTGATTAGGAATTCTGTAACAACAAAATTAGGTCCAGCTCGCCTATACCCCTATATCTCTCCTAAAAGCGGAGGATAGATGGACCAGTAAGTGCCCCAGCAGTTAAACGCGTGAACGCTACGCGTTTGAGATTCGGTGCATCCCGCAATACATATCTGCCTATGCCATGCCCAAACTTATACCCAAAACTTACCTCAAGTGAATACGAAATTTTCCGATACCTTTGCTGTACAGACTCACAAACAATTGTACTACCAATCATCAACTAACCCTTTCTCATGATCCCACGCCGTCGAAGCAAGCATAGTTGCACGGTGTGCGAAAAATCGCGGTTGGTCTGTCTCACCTATTGGTCCCTCTCCTCGATTTACCCTAATATGAAGTTGCACCGCCCGGCACCTGACTTTTCAAATCCATTTCCCTCAATTTAAAAAAAAATCTGAATGTGAAGCCCCGGACGTTTCTGCGCTCGAAGATGAATTTAGTGGACTGCGGTTATTCATGTCGATTGTGGAAGACAAACTGCGCATGGGAATTTGGTACTTGAAATTTAAAAACTTGACAGCTTTTTCTGGGACTATATTTTTGAAAGCAAGACAGTCACAGTTTTGATGTTTAGAATTTTTAGTAGATAGTAGATTTCAAGCAAACACATATAGCATGAAAGTTGCAATAATATTCGATAAGATTTACTTATGAAAGTCATAGAAACTTCCAAACAACAAGATGATTTCAGTAAATATACATAATATGGGGATACGAAAAATTTTAGCGGTACACCATGACTTTGGTCATTCGCTTCGGCTCTTATCTCTCAAAAGAAAGATATTTGATCTTGACAATAGACAAAAATCTATAAGTACTCAACCGTCCTAGCTAAATCGGAAGTAGCTTCATTGAACGCTGCAATTGCGTTCCGTGTATTCTCGACTGTCGTAAAGAGTAAGGAATTAAATAATCAAAATGTAGATTTAAACAAATTTAATGTCACCTTATCACATCGTTTCCTAACTAGTATTGAATAGATAATAAATAGAACTTTGGAACAGGACAAAAATAATTTATTAAGTACGCTTTTCCTCGGCATCCTTAATCAATTGGATTCTACGTTCGGCGACCGACCGGTTCTTTTTAAATTCTTTACAGTTCTTCCACAGCCACATCCTGCAGTCCTTTTTCCAAAAGTACGCGATGTCGTTTCGACTATATATTTTTCCTTGATAATTCAGAGCTTCCTCCTTCACAAGCACAGGCTCGTTAGTCAGCAAATCTCGTGTTTCTATTCCTCCCGGCACATGATCGTTCAAATCCATTTCCCTTATTTTTTGTAAAAAAAATTCTGAATGTGCCGCCCCGGACGCTTCTGCGCTCGATCTGGTCGCGCGCAAGTCTGATGAATTTAGTCGACTGCGGTTGTTCAAGTCGCTTGTGGAAGACGACCTGCGCATGGGAATTTGGTACTTGAAATTTAAAACATTGACAGTGTCTTCTGGCATCATATTTTTGAAAGCGTGACATTTACCGTTTTGACGTTTGAAAGTCAGGTATAACGATGTTAGATATTGCACAAAGCACCACGGCACTATTTATCTGGGATTTTAATTTTCGCTTTTTTGAAAATAATTCTATAAGAGTAGATTTTAAGAAAACAAATACCTTCTTTCAATTAGGTGTATCAATACTATTTACAAATCTTATGGATTCCTCCTGTGTCAGTAATTACGTCACGTTTCACCAATCATCCTGTTGGCTTCCTCAGAACTTAACTGAAACTGGTAGTACCGGCTTATATACTGTCTGAGAGGGGCGGAGCTAAAAAAATTTGTCGGCCTTCACGATTCTAAAATTTCTGGTTTCTACTAACTCCCTAAGATTCCCAAGCTAGCATTAAGCCTTCGACCCATTGCTAGCACCTTTAGTTCTTTAGTTCTTTAACCTATTCTCTAGCAAAATACCTAGCTTCAATATTAAAACCCTGATAAACTGATAGTTTCGTATTTAATTCCTTTCACCTCATTGAACAATTAAAAACCCTTACATCAGATCCAAACGATATTCTGGTTAGTTTCCGACGTCCCTCTTTACTAAAGTCTCTATTCCTGAAACCCCTCAGCATTATTTTAGATATATTAAAATTCGAGAATCTTGGAAGGCTTTTCTTACTTGGTCTCATGGTCAAGAATCACTCCCAGATTTTCTTAATCATTTAAACTTCATACATCCTAAAGTTTTACCATTGAATTAAAAACTAATACTAATCTTCCATCCTTGGATAATTTTATTAATAGAAAATCAAATCTAACATTAGGTTATTCAGTTTACAGAAAACTCTCTCTTGTTTACAGCGCCTTAAAAATGTCTTAACCCGAATCACTGAACCCAGAATTAAAACACCTAACATCTCTAATAATTTCCTCATTGGAGATATTAGCGTTCCATCACAAAATACACTTCATCGCAACGTCCAAAGAAAATGAGTTCGCAAACAACCCTACACTTGCCACAGTGGTTCTTATAAATAATATATCAAAACCTCTAAAACCAGATTTGTCCAAAAATCTTTCGCCATTTTAAATAGCAACTGGACTAAAAGAATACGAAAGAATCTTAAGACTACGAGTATTGAACTCATTAGCAGTTGCCAAGGACTATCATGAAACCAGACATACAATTTTATTGGATTAAACTAAAACTCTTGCATGGAAGCAAGAAAAGTCCAAAGATCCATAGAAATCTCCAAACAACCAATCAATCTTAACCGCGACTCCTTTACATTCACCAATATGAAAAGCAGTGCAGGAAAAAGTTTGGGGAAGTTTTTGAGTTATAACAAGACGTTGGGCCATTAACTCTCAAAAGAAAGATATTTGGTATTAGAAATAGATAAAAACACATTATAAGCACTTTGACTGGGAAAAACTTTTCCATCAGAGGCAAATCATATCATGAAGGGAAAGGAATTTAAACTAAAAACTTATATCCAATTAAAAAGAAAATTTCGACATTCATCAACATCAAACAAATGCGCCCTGCATTTGCGTAATATTCATTTAAAATATCAATTTTCCATTCACGACTGTCCTAATACGTTGTGTTCCCCCCATTTACATATTCGGTTCGATTTATTAAGGGGACCTCCCTCCAAGGGTTGACGAATGAGTAATGCGCCTTGGTGGCCTGTCGAGCAACCCTATTGTTTCCACCCTCGACGGACTGTGCGTGTGCGTACGGTATAATGGAGAGAATAATGCGTAGATATACGTAAATGGATAGATGTATGGTTCCGACGAGAGATAGAGTGGATGGATTAGGATACTGGTTTCGCAAAGAAGCTTGACAACAGGGACATAGATTTAACGGCTAATGTATTTGATAAAAGGACGTAACAACTGACCAAAAAACTCTAAAAGAACTTAGTCACCTATCGAATTATAATAAAACTGTTCAACTGCAATTACATGTCGGTGTGGCTGTGTTCAAGGAAATACCCAGTTATGCTCCGGTCAGCATGCACTTTCATTAAGCTTCATTGCAGCTTCATTAAGTACTGTCCCGAGCGATCGATTGTTTTTCGTAGAAATCTAAACCACTGATGATATGTTGATGTTCTTCAGTTCTGATGATTCTGCATGTTTTCTGTAATGGTCATATCACTCAGTGAATGTGCTAATATTGCTTTGCAAAAAATGTGAAAATCGTAAAAATACAGTATGCAATATATACACTTCTTCAGAAGCATGTTTATTAAACAACATTATATATTAAGTTGCATGGAGTGAGTTACAATACGGAATTAAGCATTGTGAATATTTTCTTAAATGAATTCCATCTATATGATTTTATATATATATATATATATATATATATATATATATATATATATATATATATATATATATATGAAACACAAATTTAAATTTCAAACAATTTATTTCAATTTAGACTTGCATCGACAAATTAAACATAGATTAAAACAAAAATGTTACAAACATCATGTTGAGAACCCTGCATGTTCCAAATCGAATCATAATTAGTTTTCTTGTACATTAGACGTCGCTGTCATTAACAATATCTATTTTTGTTTAATCAATAATACAACCCAACTAACATTTTTGTGTTACAACGGCAACGGTAACGGCTACGTTTCGATTATCGCGAAACGTTTTTGTTACTCTTATAAAACCATTATAGCACTTCAATAGAGTATCTTATAAAGTAAAGGTGACCATTGCCTTTAACATACAGAAATTTTTTTGCAGAAGTATATTTTCAAGTTTCATCGATATAGCTTAATTATTTTATTACTTAAAATCTCCTTTATGTTGATATATATGAAAATTCACGCCATATCAAAGGACCAGGTTGGCTACACCTCTATATATGTTGTGAGTAATGTTAAACGTCTACTTAAACGTAACACTTACCTAGGAGTCATAGCAATATTGCTCTTGTAATAAAACCCAAGGTAATTTTCAAATAACTATAGCTTGATAACTTAGCCAAAAAAAACTCCTTAAGTGGTATAAAAAAGTACAGAAAAAATCAATTGAAAACTATTAGTGTAATAAGGAGTTAATGAAAATACAGCGTGTAATTGCAGCTGGTCTATCATGCACCACCGTGGACGACATTAGCGTTTTGAGGGAATCTCGTAGATTTTTTTTTAATTTATAGGTAGTCAAGGAGGCCAAATGTACCGTCACTGCATGAAGCACGGAGGCAAGCCAATTCCGAACACGACGCGCCGGTACTTACATGTACTCGGACATCCATGAGATCGAGACCGGAATACGCGACGACTGGAAATCCATGAATGGACGATGGGGCCAGGTGCAGATGTTCGATCAGAAACTGGTCCCAGACCGGAATACACTCATTAACAAAACGTAGAGGTCATTACGTGGAACAAAAAACCGATGGTATAACGGAGATTTACAAGTATGCAAGGCGCAACATAAAGAACAATATACAATGTATGACTATCATGGGAAGCCTTCCTCACTTCGGTCTCTCATTTATTGCCGAAAGTTAGAAATAATACTTTTTATTTAACATCAGAACGCATATTACATTAAAATTAATTTTATGACAAGTCACAACAAATCTTAAATAAATTCTTAATTGTTAACCTGAAGTTTGTATGATTAAAATTTACTCTTCTTATATGCGATACATTTGTTTGATTAATTGTGTATTTTATACAATTTTAGATAAATTTCTCAATATATATAACGCAACTAGGTCCCACCGGTTTGGCGTATTAATAAAAAAAGAGTAACATTTTTCGATTTTTCTAATAGTTTTCAAAATTAATATTTAACCGCGCTTACATTCAAAAAGCAAAAACACAATACACAAAGCTTCAATAGAGACTTTAATATTATACTTGTTTCCGCATCCTTTTACTTTTCTGTTCCCACGGTCTAATATTTTTTTTAACGACCGCACAAAAGGTCTCATTCCCAATAAGTTTTTTTTCTAAATAATGTTAAAGATGCATCGAAGATGGTTCAACCGTGATTGTGAAAGGCATACAAAATCGGACGGTCGAATCACGTTCGGCAGGTAACGTAGAATAATTTTTATGGGAACTGATCAACTTGAATTTAGTATCAAATTTCAAAAAAAGTATTGAACTTTTCCCTCACCAAAAGTTTTACGAGAGAAACACTTGAGTATTAAATTAGCACAAGTAGGGTACTAAAGGTTTATTAAGTGCTAATTGGGCAAAAAAATTTAGTGTTGATTGATAACACAAGTCAAAATCAAGTGTTAATATATTTATTACAGAAAAAGCTAATTGAAGAATTTAGTGTTTTCCTGACCACCAATATAAATAAAGAAATAAAGTTTGAACTTGATCATACAGAGTATTTTTGCAGTTACAATCAGAGACCCTTAATGATAACTCGAGCAGTAGATGAATCATATCAATATTTATTATACTATATTACAATTGCCATTATCTCAAACAAAATCCGCCACTATTGAGATGTAGACCAATGAGGTCGTTGTTTTATAGTTTTTGCGTAATTTTTAAGGAAAAATGGTCCCATGAACTCGGTACCAGAACGAGAGCTACAAAAATTCTTCGAATACCATTTGAACGAGTCGGGTGAAAATAAAATTGATTACTTTATTTAAAGAGTATTGGAAAATACGACTGACTGAAAATAAAACTTTCTTTTCCCGTATGGCAACGTAATAAAAAAGAGTGCTATCGATTTTAAAAGGCACAGTTATTGAGATAGATTAGTAAGGAATACCAGGTTGCCGGATGTACTTTAGCAATTATGAAAACTAGTAGGCAATAGGAATTTACCGGATAACCAAATATCTTTGGGGTACTTTACATTTGTTTTTTGTATTTGGTATAAAAATTTGCTATTTTTATACTTCGGTAGAAACAAAAGAAGTCGTTATCCTGTGGTTAAAAGGCAGCTAGTTATAGCAAAGTAAAAGCGCAAAATGTACAAAATTTAAATCGGTCATGTCCGTTTGTAAGGGAAGAATAACAAGAACAAAACAAAG